TAAAAATACCTTATTGAGCGGTTTAGATTAAAGCCTGGATGGCCCTTTCAACGAGAAGAAACCTGAGGTTATGGAGCTTGGACCTACTGACTCCTCCGTAGACCTAGGACCTCTGACACCATCTTTTAAACTTGGGTTTTAAGGTGGACTGCTTAAATAACCTTCCTCCATCCCCCCTCTCTGAGCTTCCCTCCTCGGCCCTCAGGTCAGCAGCTCCTGCAGGAGCCGAGGTTTCAGAGGAAGCTCAGAGGGGCGACAGCCTTCTCTATCTCTGCTCCTCCTTTATGGAAAACCTCCTGCTGCACATTAGGGAGGCTCCAATCATGGTGAAATGAGCTGGGTTCTCTCCTGCTCATGAGCTGCTAGATGCTCCTCTGCTACTTCAGCAACTCCTTGATCAACAACCCTTTTATATTGTGATATTTTAACTTAAAGCTTGTTTCCACATCAGTCCAGAGACAGAAATGTTCATTAAAGTCAACTTAACGAATTATCGGATTCTTTCAGGAACTGCTCCGCTTACCCAGCAGCCTTTTCACAGATCAGAAGGTCATCAGGCAGGTTCAGCAGGTCAGGATAGTCCTCCTCCACCTCCTGTGGATCAAACTAATCTGTCAGCTCATGTCAGATGTGGGCTGGGCCAGCCTGGTTGCACCTTCTGCTCATACCTCCAGGATGTGGTGCAGCAGCGTAATTCTGGACTTGTTGGCCTTAGTTTCCGTCAGTCGGAGCAGCGTCCCAATTTTGAAGCCGTCCGCGTTCCCCGTGTGCGTCCCCTGAGACAGAGACAGACATCATGACCACGGCAGGAAAGCGGCGCAGGCGGAGGTCAGGAGCAGAGCTGGGATGTGAATCCAGGCGGGTTCTGGACTCCAGAGACTCACATAGTTGAGGAAGTTTCCAACACTGAGGATGAGTTTGCAGAAGCTGGGCAGCCGGGTGCTCTCCCTCACACCTGGACACACAAACCATGACAGTGAACATGTGTGGGCTGCAGCCGCGGGCTTCCATCACCACCAGGGGGCGCCGATACTGACTCTGACAGGCTCGGTCCAGCAGCTCCGCTTTGGCTCTCAGTGTCTCCAGCGAACAGCTGCTCTCTTCCATCAGCAACATGCACTCGATCCTTAGCCCGTAGCTGCCACACACACAGGTATCAGCACGGTCTGCATGTCAATCGTCCTGTCATGGTCTCTGCAGCAGCCAGCAGGTGGCGCTGTGGTCTCACCTGGGCACATCCAGCAGCTGCAGGTAGAACTGGTCCACTGAGGCAAGCTTCCCTCTGTCAGCCTGGTGGCTCTTCAGGTTCTCTATCTGAGGATGAGGTAAGAGAGACGATCAGGACCCAGAATAAGAGCCATTCTTCAGGCTTCAGAACAAACAGGCGCCTCTGATGCATGATGGGAGGAACGGCCTGTTCTGCTGCCCTCTAGTGATCAATGGCAGAATGTTGGAGGCAGGCCTCGCTTTCTGAGATCCTCTCAGATGTTTTTAGGTGAGAAAGCAGCCGAGACAGCTGCCTGCAGCCGGCCAATCACTGCCAGCAGCTGGCTGCAGCCGGCCAATCACTGC